ACGGAACACAATAAAGATTAGCAATGATTCCCTCCCTTTCCTCTTTACATATCTTTTCAAAGATGAACAGCTATAATTTTTACATGCGTGCGACTTGCACATTCACCAGCAAGCTGCAGAGACTTTCTGTGGGGAAAATTGAATTGTCTTCAGTGTGCCGAGCAAGACGTTTGCTATGAGCATTAAGGTCATTAGACAGACGGTCTGCAAATCCCAAGCTCAGGTTAGCTGCTTAGCATGCATGGAAACACAAAGCAGGAGTATTAATGTTTAGTGTTGAAAATGAACAAAGGCAAAACTAAATACATATTCCTGAGTCATTTTAAAATTGCACGAGAAGCACGTTCAGTCGCCTGGGCTCCTGGGTTCTGTCATTTCCTCCCAACCCAGACCACACGTTCTGATCTCTGTGTTTGGTGTCCTTCTCAAGACCTGACACTAGTTTGTTCTCCCTGCTTAGGAGATGAAACTGGCATGCTTCTCTTCCTCTCTACCGTTTCGTCAAACCCATACTCATAACCAAATATGTTCATTTGACTTCCTCTGCCGGCCCCTGGAGGATGGGCTCCCCCTTTGAGTCTGGTTCCTCCCAAGGTTTCTTCCTTCTAGGGGTTTTTTCCTTGCCACTGTCGTCTCTGGCTTGCTCACTGGGGGCTTTTGGCCAGGGATAACGTATAGCACCTTGAGACAATGCAATGTTGTGAAAATGCGCTATACAAATGAAACTGAATTGAAAAAACGAAATCCCCCATTCCATCCTCCATGCACCTGACCAAGTTTTATACAGCCCCCGATGGAAGCCATTGTTTACCGTGAGACAGCAGGGCACAGAAAATGGAAGCGAGAAAACAGAAAACGGCTTGCTGCCAGAAGCCCTTATTTAGATGCTAGTGGGCAGGCCTGCTATTGCGTGGAGTGGGAGTCTCTGCACAGCACCCCGGCCGAAAACATCTGCTAAACACCATTAAAATCACCTCATCAACCCCTTCCATTATCAAAATGGACTTTTCCAACTGGTCTTGGAGGCCACCCTGAAATCCTAACAGCAGTATACACCTGGGTAGGGCATGCCTGGGCATCGCATCGCGAATCTGCTCAAAGCAGAAGGCCCTGCAGGAACTCAGAGGGAAACCAAGGACATGAGCAGGACCGAAACGGGGTTGAACTTAGATCCGCAATCCCGGGGCTGTGAGGCCACGAGGCAGCAGTATAATAAGCAAGCAAATTAATAGATGGGCTTCAGCCGTAAAGTGAATAGTGCGTTTCCACAATCATGCCCCTCAGCGTCGCTGTGCTACGAGCCCAGAGCAAAAACGATACATTTTGATCATGTGCGGGCAGAGAACAGCAGATTCACGTGTGGTGTTTTTACGGCGGTGGGAGGGACAGCGGCAGACTCTGGCTGCTTTGTGGTCCCTGAGTGAATATGCACTGACATTCTTATGGATCTTTTATGGACGTATTTTATAGACTGTAAGGTGAAGTGTATCAGGGCTACTAGGAGGAAGATGTACATGTAGATCAAAGGAGGGTTAGGAGTAAATCATTAGGACAGGTTTAAGACAAGTGGACAACCATGCCTGTCCATCCATTCCCGTCCCAGCTGCTTACCCAGGACAGGGACTTTGGGAGAAATGTTAGCGAGATACTTACTTAGGACCAGGAGTGTGTGCAACATGCAGAAAGTCAACATTTCTTTGGTTCCAGTGGACAACGATAACGGGGGCAGTGAACGACTCACTGGGCTAAGTCTCTATGCCCGTAATCAAAAGACTGGCGGTTCAAGCCCCAGCCTTGGCAGAACAGACCCACGTCCATGGTCCCTTAAGCCCCTCCCCAGCTCCAGGGGCACTGCACAGTAGCTGACACTACACTATGACCCCAGCCCCCTGCTACAGAGAGCAAGATGGGGTAGGTGAAGAGACAAATTCCACTGCCGGTATTTGTACTTGTGCAAATGGCCAATAAAGGATTTATTTGTCGTCATCAAACATGCCAACAGTATCATTTATCAGTAGGAACGCATCGGTGTGAACATACCACTGAACTTGGTGTGGGGGTGTGAATAGTTTGTTAGTATAACAATTATCACCTTCATTGCAACGTATACATGGATGATACAATAAAAATACGGATTGCGATTTAAATATATATTGTTTCTTACGGTTTTCTGAATAAATAGAGCTGTCTGGCCACTTAAGAGAAGTTACATATCAAATACTTGACTTGTTTAGCGTACGGTGAGCAGGTCCTGCCTGAGCTTATTATAATCCATTAAAAGCCTGCTTGTTAGCAGAGTGGGTAAGAGCAGCTCCGTACTTTAGCATGCTGTACACAGAGAGCAGACTCGCCGTCTGCACCGGCCCCTTACGTCAGCCACGTCTAGTGGTTTCGATCCCCGTGTGACGCTCAAGGCAGATTTGCGAAGGGCTGTCTGTGATCTTAATATGCAAAATCACTACATTTACTTTATTTAGCAGATGCTTCCGTCCAAAACTACATACAAGTACGGCAAGCAACACTTTGCAAACATACACGCTGCTAAGGAGTCAACTAGGCATAAGTGTGGCCAGGTTGAGCTTCCAATGAATGTCCAGGTACAAGTGTAAGCAGTACTGGATCAAGAAAATAACCAATGTCATTGAATAACACCACAGTTTGCAGGCTGATTTAAACTCCTTCACTGGCTTAATTCGAGGTGTAGGCATCTAGCTGGGTAAACCATATAATTCAGCAGCGGGACACAATGGTGAAGGCATCTCGACCAGCTTCAACTAGTCCCCAGTTTCTAACCTATCGTCTCACCGCTGTCTGCACAGGGCATTGCTTTATTTCCATTTCACTGGAATAAAGATCCATTTTTCTCAGCTCTATAGACATTTACTGATAAGTCGGAAGCAATTAGGCAAATTAGTTTCCCACTGCACTAATAAGAGAGCTCCGCTTTGGATGGACGGCTTCTTCTGTTCCTTTCCGATTCCGTTCAACTAAAATGCTTCAAAGGAAACAAACAGGCACGTTCCGTCAGAGAGAATGGCTATGCTGTGAAAGCGTGACATGCAAACCAGCAAGAGCTCCAGCCTTCAGACCTGTGCCTGAGCTGGAAAGTATGTGTCCGCAAACCAAATAAAGAAGCATGGAGAGCAACCGGCCCCCATGTGTGCCGCTCATTCAAAACGAAGGCACCCTTAGAAATCACTTTATTTTATGGGGTTACGGTCACATTTCAAGGATAACCTTTCAATAATAAACTCTGTGAGGAAAAAAAAATCAGCTTTAGTTTAAAAAATAATAATAATAATAATACAAATCCTTCAAATTCAGCCAATCATCTGGGATTTGTGCCAGAGACAGACGTTAGAAAGAATGGCTGCATGGCTTCCAATGGCTAGGGGGCGCCGGAGAGAAACGCTGTGGTCACCTGTTCGGTAGAGTCTTTCAGGGGCCCGGCCTTGGCTTCGCGTGGCCCTGGGTGTCCCACAATACCGACATGCTTAACAGCAATACGGGGGCAGCACGAGGCTAAAAACCCTCAGGGCTTCAGATTCAAACCCAAAACCCGTGATAAACTGCATGCTGTCCCCCTCCGCCCTGATGGAAGGACGGGAGGCATCTGAGGGCCAGGCTGACTGAGCACCTTCTGAAAATGCATCCATAATAAAAAGAGAATCTGCGACATAATTAATACATCTCGCTGCCCCAGAGCCCACACTCAAGAATCATTTGAAAAGAATTTATATTCCTCGTATACAGGATAATATTTATTCAAACTCCACAGTATATTTTCCCCTCCAGTCAAGCTAATTTGAGGAAAAAAATAAATAAAAAAAGTTTAATGACTGAATGGGGGGGGGG